TCAAAACTTAAACTAGGTTAGAATATACTTGAAATTTATTTTCATAAATGAATTATTAACAGTTTCAAATTTTTTTTTAATACAACTTCTGGACGGGGAGATTGAACTCATAACCTCTTGGTTGGAGATATATACCAATTATTGCTAAGTTATGCTCGCTTTGTCGAAAACACCACCTTAATTATATACCATACAACTTGGCATTGCTGATATAGAACTTAGAAGCATTGGGGATACTACAGGCCTAAATTTACAGCGTTGAGAATATAACCTGACGGGCAGATTTTGTCGTTCTTTTTACTGAATATTAACAATCCTTAGCAGCTCCTAGACAATGAGAAACGAACACGAAATTTACAGAATTTATATGATCTGATATGAGCATCACCATGCCAATGAATAGGAAAAGAGAACACCACATGTCCTCTAGTGTCATCAAATAGTATAAGGAAAGAAATTAATGCCAAATATCAAATTTAAAACAACAATAGCACAAGAACATCGAATCTATGAACTGCATTGACTAAGTAAAGGAATTGAATACATCATATTGAGAGTAGAGAATGCAATAAACAGAATTCCTTTGTCCTCGATCAGATAAGATTCATTTCTAGTCGGGTGGTGTTTTCTCTCAAAATTATGTTATTATTGCCTTTTCATGTTAATTTTCATTTGAAGAGTAGTAATTTGCATATAGTACCACTGTGGGTTATTCCATTCTAGTAGAAACTTGAATAAAGAAAACATATGAAAAAAGAGATTATATGTTAGTTATTTGCTTTGGTCAAGGGATGAAGATGCATGGTTTTGAAACTTGAAAGTTGTTTTATAAATTATGTCCTGTTTTGTATTTTCTTTGGACTAAAGCAAAGTGCCTCTTGTTTTCTCTTAGACTAGAGTGCATAAAACATTATGGGAAGAGTTTTAAACCCATTTATTTTGTTTTGTTCCCCTTGCCGTTAAACATGATTGATAAGATATTAACCTCCACTTAATACTGGCCACATAAGGACGTTATAATGGATACCTTATTTTCATTTTTAGTTATTTTCAATCTGTATCTTCAAGTTTTATATCTAACTAGCCTCCATGTTGATTATGTTATGGCTGATTTGTATTGTGATAAACCAACCGTGGAAGTGACTGGTCATAAGGTCCATAATGCTGTTCCAGCTCTTGGATCCTCATTGCTCGAGTAACTTGCTCACGGCCTATTTTATCATTTTGGATTTAGTGGTAGTTGAATATGGAATTAGAACAGGAAGATTATGTATTTGAGCTCTTATATTGTCATTTCCTCTCCAATTTATTATGATAGTCACGTAGAGTCTTATGTTATTTCCAAGTTAACAAGTGATGGGGAGCATTAAGAATATGCATAGAATGGGAGGGATCAAGGGATTAGTGAAGAAGGCTTTAGGAGAGATGGAATTCACGGCCGGTGGTGGAGCCATCAATTGGTTCCCGGGGCACATGGCGGCGGCAACACGAGCCATTCGCGAGAGACTGAAGTTGGCGGATATGGTGATCGAGGTCAGAGATGCCCGCATTCCCTTGTCGTCAGCGAACCAAGACCTTCAGCCTCAGCTTTCTTCTAAGCGCCGCATTATTGCCCTCAACAAGAAAGATTTGGCTAACCCCAATATCATGCATGTAAGAGAGCAGTTCATCAGTCTGTTTCATTTACTTAAATTTTGAAGCCTTTACTCTGAGTTCAGAAATAGATAGAGAACGGACAATGGTGGGCTTCTATTACTTCTCCTGTGATTATGTGCACGTTTTCATTCATATTTGATCTAGTCTAGTTGTACCTCTACATTAAAACTGTCTCTGTTTCGATCTCTATTGATTGTAAAAATGGATATTAGTTTCAAGTGTTGAGTGCTATTTAAATCATAGTGAAATTTGAAGTTTTTACTTTAGTGATTAGTTTCATGGTATATCTGTCGATTCTCTCAGAAAATTTCCATTTCAAATGTCTGTAAATGATGTGTATCGTGTGTCTGTTTGTGCATATACATACATATGCGTGTGTGTATGCTGAAAGATAGATAATTAAATTACAAAGAGAGGAATTTTTAATGTTCTTTTTAGTAGTTAGTTGATAATTTACGTTCATAGTATCACCTGTTGACATTGTCATTACGACTTTAATTGTGCAGAAATGGATGTATTTTTTTGACTCATGCAATCAAGACTGCATTTCGATAAATGCTCACAGCAAGAGTTCTGTCCAGAAGGTATTTTATTTTCTACATTGCTACAGTTTAATTTATTTACAACTTGCTTTTAATCTAAGGTGATAGCTCCTGATTCCCTGTGATTTATGGAGTTCCTGGAATTATTGAAGATTGCATCTTTTGATACTACTTGATTTTTTTTTGGATGATGATATATTTGCTCCTTCCAATTTAACAATGAAAGCTAATGATTTTAGCCTTTGTCTTTTACATATTGACATATTGATTGCACTCTCTAAATATAACGTTCTGGTGCTTTCTGTAATTATCTGGTGAGTGCTATGATATTTAAGCTAAACCTTTTATCAGTCAAAGTACCTCTTCAATGTTATTTCACCTTCTCTCTGTTCTATTCTACCTATTATTATTAAATAACTTATAATTAAAACCGAATAATATTCTCCATCAATAAAGGTTCTTCAAATTAAAAATTCTAGTCTCTTAACGGAGAATCTCTTCAAAGACACTTTTCAGGGACAACCTCTCCTCCCTAAGGTCCAATGATAAAACGCCCTCCGCCTCCGACCTGTCTAAGGCCTTCAGTCTCTCTAAAATCTCTAATTTCCTCACCTTGATGTCTCCAAAGACAGAGACGTTCCACTCTTTCTGCGAGCTATAAAGAGACTTCAATTTTCTCATAAAACGAAAACCTTCCCATCTCTAAGGAACCTCAGAACTCCACCACGAAGTGACAAAGGCAAAGAAACTTAAAAGAAGGATATAGTCGATCCTTTGACAACTCTGAAACGTGGCTGCTCTTTGTGGTTTCTTACAAGTTGCATCTCAATTTCCAATTGACAACTTGACATAAGTGTATTTCATTAGCTTATTTATATGATTTTTCTGCTGAAAAGATGCGTATGATGCCTTCATTTTTATTTATTTATTTTTTTTGTATGAAAAAGCTTCTCGAGCTTGCGGAATTTAAACTAAAGGAAGCAATTTCAAGGGAACCTACTCTTCTTGTTATGGTCGTTGGTGTTCCGAATGTTGGGAAGTCGGCTTTAATTAATTCAATCCATCAAATTGCTTCAGCGCGCTTTCCTGGTAAGACTGTTTCTTGGATTATTATGGAAATTTATCTTTTATATTGAAGTGTATATGTATCGTAGTGTTTGATCTGGAGGCCTTGCTTGTTGGACTTTTGTGGCTTCAATAATGTTTCATAGTGCAGGAGAAAATGAAGCGAGCTAATGTGGGTCCACTGCCTGGTGTTACTCAAGATATTGCTGGCTACAAGGTAGTTTTGACCAACCACAAATCATTGATTAATCAATTTCTAGTTTTGCCCCTCCACTCCTAACTGCTTTTTGATATGAAATGGTACCATCATGAATTATTAACTGTTCGAAATTCTTCGATATGCAGATAGCCCATCAACCTAGCATATATGTTCTAGATACTCCAGGTGTATTAGTTCCTAGTATTCAAGATATAGAGACAGGGTTAAAGCTGGCACTCGCAGGTCGTATTCTTGTTTATAAGAGTTATTATTTTATATTTGTCAGAAGTGTTTTATTTGTTTCCTATCCGTCCAGCCAAATCATACAATTCATTAAGATTATGATTTTGTTTCGTCTTCAATTTAGTATTGGACCGTCATGCTGATATCGACTATATCACAGCATCCATGTAACACTGATGCTTTACCCTTTTAACATGGAAGCAGGATCTGTGAAGGATGCGGTAGTGGGTGAGGAGCGTATTGCTCAATATCTACTGGCTGTTTTGAATATTCGGGGAACTCCTTTCCATTGGAAGCAGTTGAATAACAGAAGAATGGAGGGTATTCAATATGAGTCAGAAGAAAGACACAAATTTAATCTTAATGACCTCCGGCCAAAAAGGGGGGCTCCTCCTACCAATAAGTCTGATGTGGTGTATGTCGAGGTAAGGAAAAGATTTCTTATACGACTCCTAGAGTTTCTGTGGGTTGATATGCTCCATGAGACTAATAAATTGTAGTTTACAAGAGGGAATTGCAGATTTAAATTGTTCACAAGAATTGAGAAAGACATGAATCATTGCACTGTTGGTAATATTGTGGTTGGTGTAGTCACTGGTCTAGTGGAAAAAGTAAATAGACTCAGAGGGAATGAGTTCAAATGCTAAGGTGGCACCTACGTTGGATATTAAAATCTTTCAAATTTTCTTGACAACAAAACATTGTAGGATCAGACGGTTGTCTCTTGACCATGTGAGATGAGTCAATGCGTGCCAAGGCAGAAAAAATCATTATGGAGCTTTCTCTTAGGGGTGATGCTTATGGCACAAAATTAGCTACAGGTTGGGATTCAATCGTTATCCGAGTTGTTGCACATTAAAAAAAACTAAAAAAGCTTGGCACGCTAGTCACAGTCATGGATATGTATATAAAAATCGTTATGGAGCTTGCTTAGGGGTGATGCTTATGGCACGAAATTAGCTACAGGACATTGAAAAAACTAAAAAAGCTACTTTGCATTGCTTGGCCCATTTTTTGTAAGTTGATTTTCTGTTTTGGGAGGGCCATAGATTACCTCGCAAAAAATTATCCCATCATCTAGTAGTGGGGCCTCATAACCTTTATTTTAAGATGTCCTTGTTTGTTTGCTTTTTGTACAACCTCTCTTTTGTTGTATACTTTCCTTCCTCTCAAGCATAGCCGGTTTATTGACCAAAATGAAGAACTGTATACTTATTTCCTGATTCATTTGGTTCAGGATCTCGTTACTGAAGTTCAACGCGCACTGTATACAAGTTTGTCAGAATTTGATGGTAACGTAGAAGATGAGAATGATTTAGAAAGTCTTATCGAACTGCAGTTCGAAGCGTTGCAGAAAGCGATGAAGATACCTCATAAGGCAGCGGAAGGTCGTTTGAAAGTATCAAAGAAACTACTCACTCTATTCAGGGCTGGTAAGCTTGGTCCATTCATCCTTGATGATGTCCCCACCATAAAATCTTCACCATTAAATTCTTAGAAAAATAGATGTTCCTCTTGTCTTGTCTTCAGTAGGTGGCCTTACTGTAGTATGGTACTTTTAGGGTAAAATGTACATTTCAAATTTGTAACTTAGGGTTTGTAAGTTAGATTGTTCTATTGACAAGGTACCATATTATTTTTATTGTCGATGAATTTGAGTGCGAGTTTTAATAATTATTTGTTTTTCTTATGACTCCTATGACTTCTCCCTCTAGGAACAACGTTGATTAATCTTCATGTGATTATTTCTTTTAGAACAATTGGTCGGGGTGGGAATCAAATCTTTATACGATTATTTCTTTTAGTACAATTAGTACAATGAGTCGGAGTGGAAATTCAAACTCCTGATCTTGGTTGGAGATAAAGGCTGCAGTTGATTACGCAGGATTTTCATGTCTTATTATAAATTACTGTAATGTAACTTGCTTCATGTGACTTCTAAAATCATACAAGTGGCTCATTGGGAAACTTTTTCAGTTCTTGCTCTTTTTGTTTTTCGATTTTAGGAATATTTTTAAAATTACGTAGAAATTTTGGAAACAACAAAATCAAGTACTATTAGTTTCTATTTTCAATATTTTTTAAAATATAAATAAAAGTATTATTTTTTCATCCGTGACTTATAGAATTTATTATAAATATTAAAGGGTAAGTATAACATAAAAAATTAGAATATCTAATTAAAAAAATTAATTTTCATATAAAACTTTTAATTTTTTAATTAGAAATTTAAGTGAACAAAGATTGGAAGGGTCTTTAAACCTATTTTTATTTTATTTTTTCAAGAAAAAATAAGATACAAAAAATAATTATAAAACTTTAGGAGAATCAAGAATCGAGAAATAAAAAAATGAAACAAGAGGACATTATTGTAAAGAACAAGAGAAATGATTAAAAGAAACCAACGATTCTCTCTCCTTAAACAACCTATGTCGAGTAAGAAAGTCTTTGATGACTCAAGGTTAATGAAGGATTGTCCTCAGACTTTTGTTACACAAAAGATTTCTATTTCACTCTTCCTCCCACTAATCTTAAAAGACTCATATTAACTCAATGGTTTACAAGGTCACTAACTCCAAACCTTTTGATGAGTTTTTAAAATAGTTTTTGGATCACTATATATATGCATAACCATGAGGTAGAATAGAAAGATTTAGATTATTCATAAGTTGGTTAGAAATCAAATGAGCTTAATCACAAGGCTTTCCTTTGCGGTTCTACTTTTGACTTTTGTCGAGGAACTCTGATTCTCTCATTGTATTTTGAAATACTTTATTTTACTATTTTTTTATTCAAAGTCGCAAATCAACTTTACCAATTTAAAAGCACTTACTTTTGTTGCACCTGACGGTCGGATCTGTTCTTGCTTCCAGCATTTCCATCTCTCTATCCCCATATTCATGAAGTTGTGGAGAGCAATACAAGAGTTTTGATACTAGGTGAAATGGTGAGGTCGCACCCTAGTTAACGAAAGTCCAATAGCCAAAAACATGACTAGCATATGATTTGACCCAAATAGCACAGGAGATGTGGAACGTCGTGTGAAATAGGAACAACTTCGTTGCAAAGCTAAACACTCTTGGTGGTCAATAGTAAAGTAGCACCGTAAGAGAATGGTGAAAAGAACTCCAATCAAGGAGTAAAATAGTACATAAAACAGTAAGTTTCTAGTGGTGGGAGGAGACCAGGACATTAGCTACACGTTAGTTGAAGAACGAGCTAGCAACTTTTAAGCAATGACTTGGTTAAGAGATCTTATTAGGTCCGAATCAGGTAATGTTGAAGAATAGAAAAATGCACTTCAACCCCTAACCATAACTCATCTTATTAGGTCCGAATCAAGTAATGTTGTAACGGGCCAAAAGACATCAAATTACACAAACCAAAAGATGTCACGTATGTTTGTTATGACCATGACATAAATTAATTGAATCAATTTAAGCCACGTGACAATTTGATATAAAGGCAAATCTGTTGAAGTCCACAAAAGGTAATTGGGCCTAAAGTCAAAATAGGCCCAAGTCTACATAAAAACAATTGGGTCTAAAGCCCAAATAAGTTCTTGCCCTGCCTATGGAAACACTGCAAATATATTTTAAGTTTTGCTATATTTATAAATATTTGTTTTTAGATTCCATTTTTACAAAATTTATATACATTATGTCCGATCATGGATGTTAGTAATACCTTTATGAGGGTGAAGGTAGAATTTTCACAGCCATTCAAAGTATATATAATATATAAAATTTAGTGGGGCGAATTAGAGGGATGACTATAAAATTTTAAATATTTTTATTATTGGATAAATGTAAGGTGACACCTGTCCAGGGAATGAGAGCGTCGGTGGCCCACGACCACCCGACATGACCCTCTTCTCTTTGTCACTCTTTGTCCATATAAAAATTCCATGGAAACCCTAATCAAGGTAAGCAAGAATTCCTACGCGCAACCTTACCCAAATTCTACCCACACTCTCAAGTCGGACTCTCACTTAGCTTACTATCATTTCTCTACTTTCTCCACACTCATTTACTCTCATCTTAAGTTCTAACATAGACATCAGAATGCTTCGACAGAACACCTACCAATATTAGATTTCTGTATGCAGGTGAATTGTTATCTAGGACATGAAGACGTTTATTGTACTCAATTGTCTCTTTCATTATTCTCTCAGTCAATTGGGTGAGGCGGCGATGGGGAAGCCCCATTCCCATCACTGCTCCCCAAAAATCATTCTCCATCGCTGCTAAAATCTCCATTACCGAGGCCAGCATTCCCACCAAGAAAATTTTCCCTGGTTTAATTTTCGTTTATTGGCTTTTTATTTTCCATTTTATACATACATAGATGAATTAGGCTCATATCCATAGTAAAATACTCTTTCTAACAATTCCAAAACAGTGAAAATTAACTTGAATTTCCTTTAGGGGTCCAAAACTTTAAACTTTGATTCCCAAAAACAGACAATGGTGTTTAAAAATTGCAGCTGAAGACAAAAAAGGAAATGAAAAAGACAGAATGGAGGCGCCTTCCTGGAAGCTATTGCTAGGGAATATGCCATAAACCTACACATTTTGAAAGATTCTTTTATAGTTTCCATTATGTCTCTAGATTTTGAGTTTTGGATTTTGTGACACTCGACCAGAGATCAAAGATACATGGATGGATGGATCGATAGGTCGAGTCAGAGATACATGGATGGATTGATAATGAGAGGGATCTTAAGTCTTAAGATCATCCAAACATTGGTTAAAAACTACATGCCTATACCAACTTCTTCCAAAATCACGACTTTCTTTACGGGCAATTGCTCACCAATCACGATAAAAAATAGCAAGGGATTTAGGGAAAAGTTCCAAGTTACAATATAATAAAGTAGAACCACGGAACATAAAATCAATATATTTGAATGTCATGATTGGAATTTATATGTTTCCTCTTAGAAAAATTGTTCTCAAAATCTAGCCTTAACCTACCTTAGAAGGTAATTACTACTTCGTATGAGATTTTGTATTTAAATAATAATATTTTTTTTAAAAGAAGGATTCAGTCCTTGTACTTTAACTTGGTAATAATTTAATTATTGAATTTTAGTATGTAACAATTTAGTCTATGTAGTTTAAACTTTGTAACAATTTAGTCCCTATTGCGATTTTATTTTTTTAAGATTTAATAAAAGAGGTCTTATATATGTAGATCGGTAAATTGACAAGAAACCAAATCTGTTTATAAATTACAAAAGACTAAATCACTATAGGATAAAAATAACATTAATTTTAATAAGATTTTCTCATGGTAGAGATTAAATTGTTACAAATTTTAAACTATTCAAACTGAATTTACCAAGTTTGGGACTAAATTGTTACTAATAATTAAATCATTTTAAATCTTCATTAAAAAAAATAAAGGACCAAACCTATTTTTTTTTGCAAACAAAAATTTGAAAAAGTTGTGAATGATTGATTGAAGTATTAAATAGAGACCATACATATACAAGGCATGTAGAAAGAGATTTGTCTTTTGTGTAGTTTTGGTCTCGCAATGAATGAATTGTCTCTAGCAATTTCTAAGGTTGAATTATGAAAGTCCCTAGATCCTTCTCTTTGGAACATGGTAGAGCCTTCTAGTCTCTACCCACTTACTCCCTCAATCACCATAAGTTTTATATGATTTCATCGTATCTCTCTTGAAATTCCATTTATATCTTTCAATAAATTATGGATCTCTATAGCCAGAGCTAACATACAACTCGAACAAAAGACTTCATGGTAGATGATATTACTGTTGGAAAATTAACGGTCCTGTATAATTTTCCATTCTAAAGAAAATATCCAAACACAACCGCAATATGTAAATAGGAAGAAAAATTGTAAAGTACAAGATAAATGACACAACAAATTTATACTGGTTCACCACTAAGGGCTACATCCCACACTAAGATGTGGGTAATTCACTAATAATGTTAGGATTGGATACATAACACTCCCCAAAAATATCCCCTAGATGTCCCAGCAAAACCCCCTAGTTTCTAAGTATTTTAACACAATTAATACTTAGGAACAGGAATGAAAACTCATAAGAATCAGGATACAATTACTCGATAATGTCGATCTTGATCAACCCTAATGCCTCTGCCAATACCTGAGCCGCTGCCACTGATTAGCTGCCAAAGCCCTCTGAAAAGTGGCGGCTAAAGCCCCTTGTTCGGCTTAGAAAACCTTAAAACCCGAAACTGCGGATTTATTGACTCGAAACAGCGTCATACCGCTACAGACGGAGCACAAACGCGCGCGCCTCCATCTGGACGGCGTCGCGACGCTGCCCTCAGCCCGTGTGGCTTGCAGCGCTCGCTTTTCCCCTGTTTTCATCTTGCTTCGATCCCGACACTTCCTGGCTTGATCACGACTCATTCCTAGCTCGTTCTGACGTTGTTTTGGCTCCACTGATCCCAAAAATCTCCCAATTGGAGACAAAGCGACAATTATCTACCTCCTACTGCATCAATAGTGTCCCATCATCTTGACACCCTCTGTCAAGGCACAATTCTGATTGCTCGATCAACGAACTGATCCACACTGTTCAGCACTACCTAAGCTCTATCTGTGATTGTCTTGAGTCTAAGCAATCCTACGCGGTCTTGTCTCCCAAACGTTAGAGACACAACCACGTTATCCCATTCGATCTAAGTGGTCATTGTCGCTTCCTTTCTTGATCGAACCCAATAACCTCTGAAGGAAGATTCCCCTGATGACTTGACACTCCCACCCAAGTCCGTCGTCTTTCTAGAGACATCACCCTTGACTTCAATACTAACTGTAGTCTTCTCCCTCGATGCACTCACTCGCCTATGCGACTTCATCAGCTTGCCAAATCGTATGGCAATTGGGGTATTATTCTAACAACCTGTTGAACACCTCACTGAGTTGTTGCCCTTATCCTTTCCTATACTTCCCAACTGTTGTATTTGAACTGATGACAGACTCTTATGATCTATTCTAGTTGTCAATACTGTTGATTCTTTCAAGTCTCGCCCTGAACCTCTGCAGCTACTTTTTGCATCCTCTGTCTCTCAGATCCTCTAGCAACCTCAAACTCAGATACATAAACAGAAGATCTCTTGTGGCCTGTCGCCACCACCCTAGATTCCATCTTGAGCTTCCAGCAACCCCTAACAAACTCACTGCTGTAGCCATTGTCGTCTAGCTTTCGTACGGATAACAAATTAAATCTGAAGCTACGAATATACATGACGCCTCTGAGCACCAACTCGGTCTCTTTATCTGTCTTCAAACAAATATCTCCAATTCCTCTCACCTTGAAGATACTCATATTCCCCATCCTCACTGAGCCATAATCACCTCCAGCAAAAGATGAGAACCAACGTCTGTTTGAAGTAACATGCATTGATGCTGCAGCGTCCACTACCCACTGGTCTACAGATATGTTCCTCTCAACATAAGCCAGAAACTCTTCAACCCGATTTTCTCCTGTTACAACGCTTGTAGAATTGTTCCCCCTCTCAAAATCTTCTTTGAACTTCCTACAAAACCATTTAACGTCTTGTGGCAGTAATAACACTCTACTTCTCCACTGGAACTCCCACTACCCCTGTTGTATCTATGCTATTGCTTCCCCGTGTAGTTCATCTTGCCCTTCCCTTTGTTCTGAGCTACCAAAGCTGATTCAATCCCGTTTGCTACCTCTGAAGTACAAGCAAACATTTTTCCTAATTTTCTTCGGGCTTCCTCAGATAAGGCGGCATCACAAATAGCTGAAAATTTCAAGCTATTATCTCCTAACGAATTCGACACCATGGTCATTATCGTCTCCCAACTATTCGGCAAAGATGTCAACAATCTCATAGCCTTCACCTCCTCATCAATCTTGACACCCATCCCTTCTAATTTATTCAAGATATCAGTGAGCTCATTAATGTGGTAATTCACTGAGGTTCCCTCCTCCATGTGGATATTAAAATACTTCGTCCATAGAAAAGTATTTTTGTATTGAGAGAAGGTTTTTCATACCTATCTAGCAAGGCCTGCAACAATTTTATCGCAGTAGTCTCTTTTGCCACGAGACTGCATACACCCATCGACAAAGATATTCTGATGTTTGCAACGGTATGCTCATTCATCTCACTCCAAGCCATATTTGTTATCTCTACAGGTCTCTCCCCCAAAGTCTTGTGTATCTTCTTGCACTTAAGAAAATCCTTTACCTGCATCTTCAAAAAACTAAAATTCTCTCAACTGAACTTCAGAACCCCTTCATAGTAATAGTGTGCTTGATATATGTCTCCTATGATGTTGCAACCCTATAACTCCGATACCACTTGTTGGGAAATTAACGGTCCTGTATAAATTCCCCTTTCACAAAAATATCCAAACACAACCACAATAAACAAATAGGAAGAAAAATTGTAAAGCACAATATAAATGACACAATAGATTTATACTAGTTCACCATTAAGGACTACGTCCAGTCTTCCGCTCAGATGCGAGTAATTCACTAGTAATGTTAGGATTTGATACAATAACACTCCCAAAAAAATATCCCCTAGATGTCCTAGCAAATGTCCCCTAGCTTCTACCCCAATACTTAGGAGCAAGAAGGAAGACTCACAAGAATCAAGATACAATTACCCAGATAAAGTTGATCTTGATCAACCCCAATGCCTCTGCCAATACCCGAGCCACTACCACTGATTAGCTGCCAAAATTCTCTGAAAATCGACTACTAAAACCCCTTGTTTGGCTTAGAAAACCCTAAAACATGAAATTGCGAATTTATAGACTCGAAACAGCGCCATGACACTGTCCCCAGAGCTATGGCGCTACAGACAGAGCACAAACACGCATGCCCCATCCCTGGCACTGCCCAGATGCTACTAAGACCTCGAGCATGAATCCACCAGGGACCAACCCGTGAGTCAAACACCATGAGGCAGGTCTATGGGTATGAGCTCGTGAGGCTGAATGAACTGAGCCCGTGGGTCAAACCTATGAGGGTAACTATATGGGCCAAGCCCCTTGGAGTGCCCCTATTCGATCTCTCTATTCTTTGGAGAGTCTATCAAGCTCCTCCAACTTAGAATTTCAGATTCTAAAAGGTCGAAAGAAGAAAATATGTAGAAGACCTCAAGTTTTCTCTCTATAAAAATAGAGAGAAGAGTTACGTAACAAAGGTATGCTATAAAATCCTAATTCTCGCAGTGGATACACAAACTCAGATTTAGATTTAGTTTAAGTATCAGAGTGCGTTTGGCTAGCACCATGTCTATATGCATTCTCTCTATTTTATAGGTTCTGTTGAATTCCATTAATGATGAAGAGTAATGTGAGTTTGGTTATTCAGCTAGACCAATTTTACACATTAAAAATTAGTACCAATGTTTTAATAGTTTAATTTTCTATAACATGGAACAATGTTAAATCAAGTAGATCATTATTTGCAAAGTCATATGAAATTAGTTAGTTTTTCTTTTTAAATATTTTATTTTATGGATGAATTGTATGTATATTTCTTCAAAACATAGATTATTTTCAACTCAATTAATAAAATATGTATTTTGATATTACATCTTATTTTGTTAATGAGTTAATATTTTGTGACAATAATGAGTTAATTGAAAAAGATTTATACACAAAAAGGATAAAATTAAAACTTTTAAAAGATTATAAATCAAAATGAAAAACACCTCCAAGGTCTAAAATATATATCTATCTTTTTTCTAAAGATAAAATATTTAGAAGAAAAATATTATCAAACAAATACCAAGCAACTTTCAATTGTTCTTCCTAATTTGGAGCAATAAATTTAATGTTCATCCACGTTTCAACAAAATATCACGTAAACACAAATATATATATATATTTGTAACCTATATAAAAGTGTGCAATGTTTTTTTAAATTTTGTATAATTATTATTTTACAATGTTATATAATTTATAATATTATATTTTACCTATTTCAATTTTAACAAAAAAAAAATTATAACATGAAATAATATATTTATCAAAATTTTTATTTTTTTAGATGTGAATTTGCATTTTAAAGTTTCAAATTCAAAATCTAGAAAAAAAACACATAAAATGTTATTTTCATAATTCCAAAGTTGGATCATAGAATTCGAAAACAATTTCAAAGAACATTATTAAACTCATATTCAACGTTGAATCTAATAAGTTCTAATAATTTATCCTTAATAAAATAACCATTTTAATTCTTGTCGTTAATTAATTATTTAACATATACATACATAACGTAGCTTCAAATGCGTGCAAACTAATTAATATGATTACATAGACATCTACGCAAACTCATAACCAAGATTTTCAACTTTTCATAAAATTTAAAATTTTCGTACTTAAAAAAATTAAAATTAAGATTTTCCATATATTTAAATCTCCGGTTTGTCGATAAAAAAAAAGGAGGAAAAAAAAAAAGAACTCTGGTTTGAATACATGGTACACCAAAATTTCTCTCTTTTATTTTTCTTTACAAAATATATAACATTACCTTTAGAAAAAATATACAAAATATTTTTTAATCTTTTATTTCTTATTTTACCCTTTATGTATTAAAACATCTCAAATAGCTCATTTTCTAATAAAAAGTTGATTCATTATTTAATTATTAGTTTATTAGTATATATTTGAACTCATGACATGTCACAAGGATTTGGCACAAAATCTAACATGCTCGTCAACAAAATCTATTTCTTTCAAACAATTACGTTAACAAAAACTTCAATGATTCTGATTCGACCCATGATAAAGAAATTTCAATACATTAAGTATAGAATTAAAGTTTTTAAAAGATGTACAGTCTTAAAAAGATGAGGGTACCAGAGAATTTAAAGCTCACGAGGTAAATAACTAATGTCTCAATCAGCTAAGCTACACCCGTTCAAAACCCGCAAAAATGAGGGGCATTCGTGTCATTTCCATAAACATTCCATAAAGTGGAGACAAAGCAAGCTACATGGGTGTGGGGGGACCTAACAACCTCTAGATTTTTTGACAGTTCTCTATATTATCTCATCCCCTTTACCAGCTTACTATTACACCACAGAAACAAAACACCAAACTCTCTCTTTTTTTCTTTCTATTCCACAAACTCTCTTCTTATCTTCATATTATTATTCCACTTTTTTTTGTTTTTTGTTTTTTGGGTTTTGTTCTTCCCAATGGCAAAAGCTGCAAAACCAGCTTCAGTCCTTCTGCTTCTTCTAACCCTAATTATTGTTGTTGCAGTACAAGGTCTGTTCTTTGCTTTATCTTCTTCTTCTTTCTCTCTTCACTTTTTTACTACTTTTTATTTATTTCGCATTTTAATTCTCTGTTCATGTTATCTTTTTATGGGTTTAAATTTATTTTCCAGGATTCACCACTGGGGAGGATGAGCTGCTTTTGGCTAAAGCACTTCCACCTCAATTCTCTTCTGTCTCAACAATGGCCAACCAGGTGAGCCATCTCAATAACAAATTCTAATCTTTTTTTTCTTCTAATTCATTTGGGGTATGTTTGGGAGTATCCACTTTTTAATCCGGATTAAATATGTGTTCCACATGCCCTTTAAAGTAAAGTATTTACGTGTGATTAGAAAAACGGTCGTGTTTGGTTAAAATTTTAAAGAGCGTTTTTCGCCAATTAAAAAGTCATTTATAAAAAAAATTATTGAAACAAGAAGTTTGAGAATTTCTTAAAAAAAAAAAAAGACAGGAAAGCATTTGATTTTTTCTTAAGAGTATTTACTAAGTAAATGTTCCACTTAAAAATACTATTTTAGAATACCTCCCAAACTTATTCTAAAATAATTTCACACAAGATTATTATGTTTCGAAATTATGTCATAAATACTTAAAAGTGCTTTACGAAGGGTACTTAGAAAGTATTTTTGGGGCAAATATATACTTTTTTTTTTTACAACATTGTGGGGGTGGGGGTTCGAACTCATGACTTTCTGGTCAGAGATAGGTACCTTAATCATTTGAGCTATGCTCGGTTTGGCGGGACAAGTATATACTTGTTAGGGAAGTAATTTTAAAAGTTTGGAATAAATTTAAATTACATTGAGTAGTTTTTAGTAAAGTGCTTATACTTTCGTTTAAAATCTTATTTTAAAAGTATTCTCATATTTGTTAGTAAAAGTGGGGCCATGGTTTTTATTTCTGGTTTTATTTATTTATTTTGTGTGTTTAGAACAATTTTGAATTCTTTAAATTAAAATTAAAATTCTACTTTTGTCTGCCTTTTTTTTTCTTAAATAGAATTTTAAGCATTTTGTTTTTTATGTTAACTTTATACTAAAACTTGATACGACATTCTTTTTGGTTCAAATTAATGTGTTTCATGACACTGTAATAGATTAGGTAACAAATTTCTAAAGTATATTTGAAAGTTTTAAAATATTAATGAAATTAACATAAGGATATATACTTATATTTTGTAAAGTTTGAAGGGACCAAAACATAAGGCACATGAAATTTCATAAAAACCAAAACTCAAATTGACTAAATTAATGCAGCTTTTTTAAATAAAAAAGTTGCAATTTTCCCAAATAATTAATTTGTTTTCATAAGTCAATATAAGGTGGGGATTGATTCCTCAACCAATGGTATGTTGAGCCTTTTTTTAGTACAATACGTGAAGGGGTCGAGGATTTGAACATATAACTGTTTGGTCCACAGTTGAGCTATGCTCAAGTTGACTATTTATGTTTTGTACTTAAATATAACTGAATCGGATAAGGTATCAGTATACGCCCACATAAATTCCAACTTTAAAATCCACGCTTATAATCTTTTATATATTATACCACCGGCGGGTGGTGGTGTAGTGGGCTTGCGATCGAATGGAGATACCCACGCTCTCATTCGAGCCTGGTGGGGTGCGTAGTTGGGGGCTTCCCCATTCCCCTTGGGGACGAGTTCCGCAACATCTATTATAGTGTTGGGTGACTATTGACACTCTCAGTTATAGAGATCCAATATGACGATTATTAATTCCGGATTATCATAAAGATAATATTTTATATATTATAGAAGCAAATAATAAATAAAAAACAGTTAAAAAAAAAGATGTAATTGTGGTTTGTGATGTAAATTTGAAAACTTCAGGGGAAGAATAAAATGTTGAGAAATTCAAGAACAAGAAGGTTGATGATTGGTTCAACAGCACCAACATGTACTTACAATGAATGTAGAGGTTGCAAATACAAGTGTAGAGCTGAGCAAGTACCTGTGGAAGGCAATGACCCTATCAATAGTGCTTACCACTATAGATGTGTTTGTCATAGGTAATTTTTCATTCCTTTTTTCCTTCTTTTCAAAAGACGACTTGAGAGAGTTGATTCGAATCGTTAAATCGAGTTTTTTTATACCAATTAGTCATTACTAGTCCCGAGTCATCTTTGTTAGCATCGCACAAATTTTRGTGTGATCTCTATTTCATTTTAACATTTTTGGTTGATTTCATTGATTATTGTTTAATTCGGGTACTTGTTTGAGCTTATGTGTATTATTGGAGTTGGCTTGTTCAAAATTTTGATGTCTTTTTAAATGGCCTATTATATATTTTGCTTAAGAGGTAATTATTAAATATATAGTTATTAAATTACAAGTTTAGTTCGTGAACTATTAGAACTGTGTCTAATAAGGAAAAAGTTCGACCTTTTTTTACCGTCAACTAAAATAGAAAAAAGTTGATGTTTTTGAAAAGTTGACACTATCATAATTGATTTGCAAAAAACGTCAACTATAGTAATTGTTGACATGTTTTAGCCATCAACAAAGGTCAAATGTTTAACAATTAGTCTTTATCAGTCCCAAAGTCTTCTTTGTTAGCACAGTCACACAAAATTCGATGCGATATGTTTCATTGTAACATTTTTTGTTGGTTTCATTAATTATTGTTTAATTCAGGGCTTGTTTGAGTTTATTATATATTATTGGAGTTGGATGATTCAAATTTTGATATTTTCTTAAATCTATTTTATATCGAAGGTAATTATTAAATTATAAATTTAGTTCATGAAGTATAATGATTTTGCCTGGTAAATTTTTATGAACTTTAAAAATATCTCATAATTCTCAATCTTCCAATGTTGTGTGTCAAATAAATTCTTAAATTTTTAATTTTATGTCTAATAGATTCTTGAATTAAAAAAAAATGTCTATTACGTCTCTTCGAAAATTCAAAACATTTTTTTTTTGATATCCGTAAGTTCAGGAACTTACTTGATATCATTGGACACAATATTGAAAGTTTTTTTTTAAATATCTATTCTACATTTTTTAAAGTTCAGAAATCTATTATACGCTACGCTGGAAGTTGTAATTTAACTTAAAATATATCAAATTTTAATATATTGGGATAATCCTACTTTAATTAGAAATGGAGAAAATTCTTAACTTAAATGTCAACAATGTGATTTTTATTTTTTGTTGATGGCTAACATGTGTCAATATTTACTGTCTTATCGACTATTTTTAGGTTTCAATAAAAAGGGAAACATTGACGGTTAAAGACTGTCGACTATGTGAAAAATACGGGGACTACAACAATTTACACAAAGTGATGGGGGAATTACAAATAACAGAGGTAAATGAAGTAAATATTGAGAAACAAACACAAAATCAATTAGATTGAGGCGCGGGTATCTCGCTCTCTTTAAGGCGATTCAAACTCTCTGCGAGGTGTATTTCTTTATCAACCACCAATGCAGCAGGTATTCTCTAGTCTGTCCCCTCCAGATACAACAACCCAACTGAAACGTTGTGTAGCTCAAACCACCCTGCTTAAAAGCTCCACAACAAAGAACACCCCTCTTTTGGCAAATTGTTCTAAAAAGAGCAAAGTATAGAATAGAGAAAATAGATAAGAGAGTATGAATTGTAGGTTGTATTGGTATGTATTGGTGTGTATTGAAAGTGAGGTTATAGAGGTATTTATAGGAGATGTAGATTTAGTAACTTAATAAAAAAATAAATAAGATTTTTTAAACTCTCTATTCCAAATACATTTTCTTCACAAATTGTTAAAACCTCTCAAACTTTAAACTCTTATTAAATATAGAAATAAAACTCATATTTAATTAAATATTAAAATGTAACAATACAAAGTTATTAATTAACGTCAACAAAAGTCTAAAAGCACTCTATTGCGTCAACTTTAAGATAGGCGTAAGTTGACGTTTGATAACCATCCATATATGCATTTTTTAAAGAATAATTTATAGGTCAAAATTAAAAATCAATTGATTTTTTTTTTGAAAAGTGTGAACTAAACAAAAAAAAGTCAGCGTCAACGAGGTCAAATTTGTAGTAGTGCAATACTTGATATATAAAAAGTATGCATCTTTAACTATATAATATGATACTTTTTATATAATTCTTACCATACAATTGTGTAAAATGAAAAAATCTATCCTCAAAACAACAAGACAAGAAATGATTATTTTTATTGGTATAATTGGAAAGATGAAACTCTTTTTGTTATTTAACTTGACATTTCCCAAGGAATAGATGTACTTTTGCAATAATGCTCAATTATATGAGTGATATATATATAGATTTAAAAAATTGATATGACATTTATTTAAGATTATATATAGATTTAAAAAATTGATATGACATTTATTTAAGATGGCCCATCAAAAGGCAATTTTTTTAAATTTTTGTGCTATCTCTCAAATTTTGTTTTTGGTATGCTCCTTCCCTCTTATTTTTATTTTTATTTATTTTTAATTAAGGTTGAATTATAGAAAAAAGAACTAATAATAAAAAGAAATAAGAAAAATAATAGTTTAAAATAGAATTAAACAAATCATAAAAATTAAATAAAAAATTTCTATTAGGTGTTTTTAATCTAGGAAAATGACAGTGGGTAGAAAAAATCTTTTATGTAATTCAAGATATGTCACATGTTTTTTTTTATTTTATTTCAGAATATAGCAAAATTTTTCACTTATATAAGTAGTATATCAGATACTCCTATCAGGATAATATCGGTAGTATATTAGACACTCATATCAATAATATATTAGAATAGTATATTAGATGTATATCACATACGATATTGCAAAGAGTAGTATATCAAATGTATATCACATACATATTGCAGGTATATCAGACACTTCATATCAATAGTATATCATGTACATATATTACATATATATTAAAGATGTATATCATTTGAGTAAAGTTGTCATTTTAAAATTGGACCTCCATTCTTTTTCTTGTAAAAAGTGTTATATTTGAAAAACCTAAATGTGGATGCTATTTTGCTAATCTTACTAAATGTTTTTGTCTACCACTGGTCCTTTAATTTATGTTACCAAAAATATCAAAAAAAAATTACGCAAAACTGTTGCGCGTGATATTTACAAAATTTTGACACAAAAAAGTAACTTACACATATACAAAATTTTCTCACGTATATAACTAATATACTATTTTTAAATCATTGATAAAATGTACTACTGATATAAAATTCATCACTGCAACGTATATTATTGGTGTATTAATTCTTATGTTTGAGCTATTGTTTTCGAATATTTTATCATTAAATATGCTATTATTGTAGAAGTCTCAAATCAAAACAATCTACAAGTAATATAACAATTTATTTCCCTTTAAGCAGGTATATCTAGCAAAATCACAATCATACAACACAATAAGAGATTAAGGGAAAACAATAAACGACAAAGAAAATTTATACTCGTTCACCCTAAAAGTTTATGGGCTACGTCCAGTCTTCTATTTAGATGCAGGTTTTACTAATAATCAGAATTGGATACAATCACTCAAAATATCTCACCCAAATATTCACCCTCGAGAGGTCCCAACAAAAGTCTCCTAATTTCTAAGTATTTAACACAATACACTTAGGTACAAGAACGAAGAACTCACAATAGAATCAAGAATTAATTACCCCAAAATAAAGTGATCTAGATCTGCCCCTCTGCTGTCAGTGCTCTCGAGCCGCTGCCTCAAAACGTCACAAAAAACTGTATAAATTTCGACTAAAACAAACCTTAAATGAAAGTCCAGTATTTAGAATACTGTCGTAACATTGAGACGCTAGGTGTAGCGTCTCAACTATATTTAGAGATTAGTACATAGATGGTCTATTCAGATATCATAATTACATAAAAAGATTGAAAAATATAGAATTTAAATTTTTTTCATGAAACAACCCTAATTAGATGGTACCCATCACACAAATTACTAGTATATCATTTTAAGGATCTATCTCAATATTAAATAAATATTAAAATCTAGAATTGGTAAATTGGGAGCTCAAATCCCTTAAAATGTGTTAATGATATTTTCTAAAATAAAAAAAATCCCAAAACCCCAAAAAACCATCCATTTTCGAAACCCACCCCTTTCTTCTTCCTCCGACCGTCCGTTTTTATTCCTCCGACCCTCCGTTTTTATTCCTCCGACCATCTGTCGCTGTCTGCTTTCCTCTTCGACCGGTTCCGTTTTTCTTTGTTGCAAGAGCATTTCGTCTGCGTTTATCCCCTTCGGCTGGAGATTTCTGTCAGTTCTTCTTCTTCGGTCGTTTCTGTCTGCCTTCATCTCCGACCACCTCCATTCTTCCCCGTCGCCAAAGCAGTTCATCTCCCGATTCAAATGTTTGCATTCCAACGGTTGTTTTTAATTTATGATTTCGTGTGAAATATTTTATATATGAGGATATATATCATAGTGATTTGATTATGATATATCTTATAACTTAACTTGTATGTATGCGGATATGCGAATATATACTATAAGGATTTTGAATGTATATATGAGGATATAAGTGGATATATACTGTGATTTTGAATATATTTTTTGAATATGTAGATATATGTTTATTGAGACTTCAAAAGATGTTTCTGTGATTTTGAATTGCCTTTGAAGATTGAGTAGTGGGAGTGAATTAATAGAAAATCAATCTTGAGTAAATTAAGGTTTTGAAGGGCTGGATTAAGGAATTTAGGTTGAAAATTAGTACGGGACCCACAATAATTGAAGATTATGATAATAATTTATGGAATTAAATCTTTTATATATAAAAAAAACAAATAACTATAATAAATGTAAATGCATATAATGAGAATTAAAACAAAATCTTACATGCATAAATATAAAAGTGTAAAATTAGACAAATTTAGAGTGTAAATAAGTGTCTAAAACAGCCAACAGTATCTCTATTCCTACTTTTACAAATCACAAACTTACAAAGAAAAAATAAATCAAACCGTTGTTGAAACTCATTCACCGCTAATCCCTTTATCGACCTCCAATCTCTTACAAACTAAAATTTCTAAATCTAAAAGGTGAATAAGTGTCAAAAGAAAAGAAAAAAAATGGTAGAATAAGATGAACATAAGCAATCCTTGAAAAAAATGTGCCCTCATGAAGAAAAGTTATTCAGAATAATCACATGGAAGTGGGGGCAAGAGAAGCAGAATGGGGATTCCATTCCATTAAAATGGCAGCAAAGAGGAGAAGAAGATTGAATGCAGAATGCAGAATGCAGAGTTTGGACCCCCAACCAAATTGAGGGCTCTAATTTATTACTCTTCACAGATCTCTTTATTGCATTAAGGACACTTGTCTATGTTTCACTGCACACTTTTTCACTCCAGTCAAAATCAACAACAGCTTCTCTTCTGAGTTCTGACTCCATTAAAAAAAAAAAAAACGAAATTTAGTACGGTGTATCAATTTTTATCTTTAACGTCTTCGTGGGTATTGTAATCTTCGTCATAGACTTTAAAAGTATTGTAAATCGGTTTTTTGTTTGAAAGATTGTTGGAAAAAGTATTCTCATGTGTATGTCAGGTGAATTATAAAGTATGTATACTTGATATGAGATTGATACGATTTAAAAAAAAAGACAAAGTTTTCTATTTTGGTTGAAATTTGTAAACTTAGGTGGTGTTATTTCATGTTCGATTTTTGTGTTTTAATCCAATTAATTATGGCAAAAGCTTTGATTTTCATTGGATTAGTGATTTTTTGGAGTTTTTTACATATATTTTGGTCTGTGTAGCTTCAGTTTTAGTTTATTTTGGTCATTGTACTTTCAAAACGGTTTATGTACTTTCAACTTTAGTTCATTTTAATCCTTATGTTTTAAAATGTTTGTTTTGGTTCCTATACTTTTAAAAATAGACTATTTACAAAAATTCTACACATAATAAAAACCATTTAATATGAAGTCATGGTTAATGAGTTTAATTAACGAAAGTTCAATAGATGTGTATAACTTGAAATACGTATCTAAGTTTAGTACTCAATTTGATGAAATCGAAAATTTAAGGTGAAATTAGTATAACTAGTCAAGTTTAAGGGTAAAAACTCATTTCCTACCCTCTCTTCTCTTATAATTATGAGAAAAATTAACAAAAGAAAAAAATGATGTGACGATGGAATTGTTGACTGTAATTGATTGATTTGGCAAAAATATTAATTTAATAATATTGAACCTCATTTTCTCCTATCATTTCCTTTTTCTCCTCCACCCTCTTTCTTTCGAAGGTCGTCTATTACTGATGTTACAATTCATAGGGAGGTCGTAAAGGTTGTATACTTGTATGTAAACTCAAAATTTAAGAATCAAAAGCGTATTCTTGTCCTTTTATTTTTGTTTTTCAAAATCTAAAAGTTATTTTGTTTCTTGTTTTTCAAAGAAAAAAAATGAGAGATAAAAGAACACTATCCACGGTTCGTGTTTTTTTCTCTTTTTTTTTTTAATTTATTTTTCAAGCCTCTATAAAGTGTGCTCTTAAAATATATGCCATAAGGTTTATGTTTTGAAGTTTGTGTAAGGCTAAAACTTAAAGATTGAATACTTACGTCTAATTATAGCATTCAAATTTGTATATGAAATGCAAGTTCAGAAAATAAGATATCATACTCTTTTTTTTTTCCAAGGGGTGGGGATCAAACTCATAACCTCTTAGTTGGAGGTATATGTCAATTATCGTCGAACTATGCTCGCTTTGACAAGATATCGTACCCGTTAGTCTATTTAATGCATTATTTTTGTGCATTGATGGAAAATAGACTTCAATTGTTAGGCTAGAGACTCTAATACTCTCTCCGTTATGTGAAAAATTAACTATATATACCTCCATCAAAATGAAATAGATGAACTTAAAAAGCTTTTAAAAATAAAACCACTTATAATCACTCGACCTATCATTTGACAATGAGTCACTAAACTTCAATTCAACCATATGTGTTGAGACGTTTACTCATTTCTTAAAGATCGGAACTTCGTCAATTTGTCATTGTACTAACAAAATCAACAATATCTATATTATTTCAAATTAAAAGRAGAGAGTCAATAAAATAATTAATATAAATAATAAGTTGAAGAGACAATTGAGCTTACAAATAAAAATAAAATTGTATGGCCCAACACATGTAGATTCAAGAGTGATAAAATAATATTTTTGTTTATGTTTTGGAACAAATTGAAAAATGAACGAGAAATAAGAAACTTGTTTGTGTTGTTTCTAAAATTTCTATACAAGTTTGAGAATATTTCTAAAAAATGAAAAATAAGAAACATAAATTTTAATAAAATCAAAAATGAGAAACAAAAAATAAAAACAAGCAGCCATTTATTGGCAATTCTCCAAACATTTATAAAAATAGGATGAAATTAAGACTCAGACGAGTACAAATCTTAATATCAATACTAACTATATCTAAATTAACGAAATGCAAGCTCAATAACGAAATGCAAGCTCAATACTAAGGGAATTAAGTTCTAACAATTATCCTAAAATAAATATGTAGCTAAAATTGTCCGAGCAAGTAAACATGAATAAATCAAAGAAGATGTTGGAATTTATGAACACCCCAATTTTTTGCTATTTAATTTTTTGGTCCCAATGTTGTGCAATGCTACGGCAAAACACATCACAACTCTTGAATAACAAAAATTTACAAGGCAAGCTTAGTAATGAGACTTGCAAGTAGAAAAAAGACACTTAGACGCTAAAGTCAGTTGTAAGTCCAAATCTCTGAGTCGTTTTCAGATAAAATTGCATACTTGCTTGAGTGAAATAAGGGTGTATTTATAGGGGTTCAGATGAGGATTCTCGTTACGAGAATCACAGTGGGGATCGCAGCGCGATCCTGGCAGTTATTAAATTCGCTTAAAATACTCTCGATATATGTAGGAGGGGACGAACGCACTTTGGCCCAGAGCTCGGGCTCACCGAGCTACAGGACCCTCTTGTCATATGGCTAAGTTTATGTTCTCGGCAAGGTCAATGACCTGAGACCCACATGTATTCCTCGATTTCCACCCAACATTTCAAGCATGTGTTATGATTTCCATAAGTTTGCAAGCAAAAAGTGTGCATATACTTTTGAATTAACATTTTTAAGATTAAAACTAGCAAGCAACCCATCCTATGTTGGATCAATCTTCAGAAGAGAGATAGCAATAAGCACACTTAAGTAAACTACAATCAGTACATAACAAAGGGACTAACAAGGTAGAGTTAAGGTTCCACAAATTTCAACATAAAGAGTTAACTCATGCTCAGAATAAGGATAAAACTGAAAAGTTCAAGTTAGTTAAAGCATAAAACTACTGCAAGTCTATGAGATAATAATCGTTGTAGGCCAAGATGTAGTTCACGTGAGGCGATCAAGGTGACGTAGAGTTGGACTATTTGGTCTATGTCGAGATGATTTAAGCTAAATATGAGTTTATCGTAGGCATATTTAAGTGAAATCTCACCACTTGAACTATAATTATGTGGCTATAAGAGTGATTTTCCAATTATAGGCAATCATGTTAAATAGATTGGTGGATTTGAGAGCCCATAGAACTCAATGGCTCTCTCAACTTCTTCCTAGTACTAGGATAGTGTAATAATATTGATACAGTGTTGCATAGGGTTTTGTTAAAACTAAATATATTTGTGGATGTCAATTGGTACCTTCCAAAGCAAACATCATTAGTCTTAGAAACATGATATATGACATGGTTCATATATCAGAACTGATCTTTACTTCTAATTCTATATATCTATCGGCAACACATATTTTCGACCAAAAGATTACAAGTTTGAATTCTCACCCCCCACATCCTGTATATTGAACTATAAAAAAAAAACATAATTATACACAAACAATTATACAATATAATTCAGCATAATCTATATATCTTACCCTCTTTAAACAATAACAAATTGTCAAATATTTAATGGTAATGAGAAGCTAAGTATTTTCCCACAGAAATATCCCGATCCCTAGTTTGGCACTTTTATCACTAATCCTTATCACTGAGTTCGATATCTTTCTTTCTCTCTTCCCTTTTCTTTGGCTGGTTCATAAATATAGGCATTTGATGAAAGAGAATTTATGGATGACTGAAAAGTAATCTAATTACTTCGTTGTCCTATCATATTGGTATGACTGTAATAAAAGTAATGAAATAATGATAGAATCCAAAGATGAATTTGAGAGAGGTTTCAATATCCAAAAAGGCTAAATGCAACAGTACGTAAACATCTCATATATACACAATGAAAACTTAGATTTTTCCCACCATCTCCTCTCTCCTTGAGATGATCATTGGCAACAGATGGGATTTGATGGAAATGAAATAATGGTGGACAACTGAACTTGAGGCTAGCACAGCAGCATTTGTTAATTCTTGATCTGCAATTTAAGTACTCATTAGACTATTTGAATGTTCCCTCGATCAGCATCGTCAATAAGGTACATCAGCTCATTAGAATCAAAATTAAAAATTTGATGACGTAGCGAAAGCTTTTTAAATTCAAGGACAAGATAGGCACAACAATCAATTCATACCTTGCTCAGGTACTTCCTATGTAATTTCAATGCCTCGTTACATGCTTTTTTGGCATCCAGATTTCCAGTTACATCACCCAAGATCTACAGTCAAAATCGCCGATCCAACATTAAGAGATAATATCCACAACGCCATGAATGATAGTAAGAGGGAAAAAAGAAGAGGCGTGTCTTACATTTACAACATCATCCAGACCTTTGGCTTCCTTAAGAATTCGCTTGTTCTTGGCCTCAAGGACACTTGCAACTAGGAAAACTGGAAGCGCAAGTTGCTGGTCATTAGATCCACTCTTCACATTTTTCCTCTCAAATTTGCCATATCGTTTTAGATGTTTGTCATTCCCATTACTTCCGACTCCTCCCGTTGAAGCAGATCCCGACTCGTATGATAAGAACATGTTTGGATTGTATTCCATGGCCCACATCATCTGAAACCAGTCTATATTACTGTATCAGTTAAACAAATTTGAATATATCTACCATGCATCATATAAACTTAAGTACCAGGACCATGTAGTACTTGTACAGATGTTCCTCGTTCATTGTTTTTCAAATGAGTTTGTAAATTTGAAAGGTTAAAATGCACAGATTAAAAGTTCAAGAATGGAAATTGTAATAACTTTTGCATAGTTCATCTATTAAACAGTGGTTCCTACAAATATTTTTCAGTACTACATATACAGCGTTTCAGTTTCACATCAAGAAACCCAAACCAAATTTTCTCCTAAGTTAATCAAATAATTACTCTTTACCTCCCAAAGATATAAACTGTCCACAAAGGAGAACTCTCTACGAAAAAGCACCATCAACATCCGAAATGCAAACAAATATTCTCCACCATCTAAGTCCTCTGCAAATATGAAAGTATAATCTTGAAAACCAAACCCAAAAAGAACTATGAAACATGGGAGAGAGAAGAGAGAGAGATATATACAAGGGAAAAAAATATTGTTAACGCATGAGGAATTAGATATTTGGTATTTTGTAAGAATCATATCCATGTTGGATTTTAATCCAACTCCTTTGGAGTCAACTTTTTGGAATTAAATACATTGAGATGAACCAAATCTTTTAGAATGAGTATTAATTCAATTTCTTCATAATTATTTTTTGAGAAGAAACTATTTCATCGATGCAATTTCTTTAGAATTCTTCCCCAATATAATGTATTTTACATTTTATTTTGTAGTTTCAATGGGATATTATTTTTTGTTTCACTCATTCATTTGCGCTATGATCTAGAAGCACCAAGTTACAGCTGTTAAATTATATTAGTTTTTTTTCTTTTATTTTCTTGTTGCATTAAGGTTCTAATAGATTAGGACTCCCTTATTCTATTAGGTAAGGGTTTCTTTTAGATTGCTATTTAATCTACTATTGTATCAATTCTTTAAAAACAAAAGAATTATTTTTTTTCTTATCAATTGACATGGTATCAAAGTTTTGAGGCTTTTTTTATTGGCCTTCATTGCCAATTGATTTCTTGTTATTTTGGATTTTAATTTTTTGGGTACGATGTTTCTTCATTCTTGTTTGCGTGTTGTCTGTACGTGGGTTTTTCTTCCGCTGCTATTTAGATGCCCCTCAAGATTGTCACTGCCACCACCGCCACTGTTCAGACACCGTCGCGGTACAGTTTGACTTCGTCGTAGGTTCAAACACCATCGCTGCTGCCGTTTCTTTGTTTGCCACTGCTATTCGAGTTCGAGCTCATTGAAGTTCGTGACTTGTTGTTTGTCTTCGAGTTTGCCACTGCTGATCGTGGCTTGTTGGTCATTATTGTCGCCAAGTAGGTTTGTCGGTTGTTCCATCGTTGGATTGTCACCGTCAGGAGTGCCATCCGTTGTAGGATTCTAGACGTGTCTTTCATAGTTTGTCATCGTCGGGTTCGTGGTTGCTTCTTCTAGAATTTCAAAAGAAAGATCTTTTTGGGTCTAGTTCAGATTGGTTCTACGTTTCCTCCAAATCTGCTCTATTCAACCAAGTTCATCTCAACTCGATCCAATTCAACCTTTTTAGGTCCACCAAAATTACCAAATAAGCTATTATAGAAGAAACTAATTAAACTTCCACAGGATAGCAACAGTACATTCATCCTAGTTATAGGGTTGGATGGAAAAAATGACCTCAAATGGTCTCAACTTGTTCGAACATTCTTGGAAGGAAAAGGAAAGTTGAATCACATTTTTGGGAAATGACCGAAACAAGGAGATTTGAAGTTCGATGTGTGGGATGAAGAAGATTCAATGATCATGTATTAGTTGTGGAATTCAATTACTCCGACCATTAGTGATACATGTATGTTTCTTGAAAATGCCAAGGATATATGGGCACAAACAAACTTATTTAAAAGTGAAGGATGTTGCATAAATATATATGATATCAAGATTCGTATCTTGAAAACAAAAGAAGGCAGTTGAATAGAGACAGAATACTCTACAATCCTTCAAAGCTTGTGGCAAGAGCTGGATCTCTATCAATACAATGAAATGAAATGAGTAAGGATGCTACTACACTTTAAAAAGTTGCTGAAGAAGACCGAATTTATACTCTTCTTCCAGGTCTCAATGTAGAATTTGATGTTGTAAGAACAAAAATTTTGGGCAAAGATCCCTCATCTCTAAATAAGGTTATTAGCATGATTAGAAGTGAAGAATCTTGTCGTGGTATGATGCTAGAACCACAAATAGAAGGATCGATCATGAAAATAGGAAGTACTAAAATGACTAATGTCGAAAACAGTGCACATGTTGGAGTGCTAACAATTGGGACGGAGGAAAATCAAGAAATATAGACCAAGTGGGATCCACTTATTGCAAGAAATCGGGGCACACCAAAGATAATTGTTGGAAGCTACGTGGAAAACCTAAAAACTATCAGAATTCAAATTTCAAGAATGGGTCGAATAATGGTAATGCAAATAAAGGGAATAGTCAAGCTCACATTTCATCGAGTAAAAAAGGCAACATGACAGAAGAGATTTTTGAAAAAGGAGAACTAAACAGATAGATTGAAAAGCTAAGGAGTTTTTTTAGAAACTTTGAAAAAAAACTCATAATCTTTCTACCTATATTATTGACTCTGGTGCAATTGGATTATTGACTCTAGTGCAACTAACCATATTCTAAGGAGTTTTTTTAGAAACTTTGAAAAAAAAAACACATAATCTTTCTACCTGGATTATTGACTCTGGTGCAACTGGATTATTGACTCTAGTGCAACTAACCATATGACGAATAGTAGTTGTCATTTTATCTCCTATCATCCTTGTCCGAACAATAAGAAAATATAAAAAATAGAAAAATATATACAGATGATACCTTTATTAACAGTGACTAGTCAAGGAGAAATCAAAATAAATTCAAACATTACTTAAAAGAATGTACTCCATATACCCCGTTTGACCATTAATTGGATATCAGTAAGGAATTTGTTCAAAGATTTGCAGTAACCTTTTTTCTTGTATTTTTCAAGACCAGGGCAATGGGGAGATGGTTGAACTTGCTAAAGAAAAAGATGGACTTTATTATCTTGATGAACCTACTGGTCAGGATAGTGTTGGGAAAGATGTTCAAGTCTCTTTTACCTCACAAAACTCATCCTTCTTTAAATAAGCTTTGGTTGTATCACTATCATTATAGACTAGGACATCCCTCAATGTGATGTTTGTGAGTTTGTTTAGCAAAAGCATGTACCATTTCCTGGTAATAATAAACGAGCATCAGTTCCTTTTTCTCTCATTCATAGTGATGTTTAGGCCCCTCCAATGTGCCAAATGTTTCCAAATTTTGCTAGTTTATTGTGTCCATTGATACTGTACTCGAGTTTTATGGGTTTAAGTTTTGAAACAAAAATTTGATGTTGGTTCTACCATTCAAACAATCTTTCATATGATAAAATACCAATTCGAAATCCAACCCAAACGATTCCGTTTTGACAATGCCCGAGATTACTTCAACCAAACATTAACATCCTTTTTTCAAAAACATCCATGAGTCGTCTTGCGTGGAAATTTCTCAACACAATGGAGTTGCCAAAAGAGAAATTGGTCTCTTGTGACTTATGCCCTTCTATTTCAAAGAAATGTTCCTAAATCCTTTTGGAGGAAGTTGGACTAACAACCACTTATTTAATCAACCACTTACCCTTTGCTACTCTAGATCATAAAACTTCTATGATCATGATTGGCAACTTGTGACTTATGCCCTTCTATTTCAAAGAAATGTTCCTAAATCCTTTTGGAGGAAGTTGGACTAACAACCACTTATTTAATCAACCACTTACCCTTTGCTACTCTAGATCATAAAACTTCTATGATCATGATTTCTGCACGACAAATAACTTGATTCATCGAGTGTTCAGTTATGTAGCCTTTGTTCATGTTCATAGTCATCTGGCAAGGTAAACTTGATCCACAAGCACTCAAATGTATTTTTGTTGGATCCTCGCACACTTAAAAGGGATATAAATGCTATCATCCTCCTTCTGAAAGGTACTTCATCTCTGCCGATGTTACCTTTTATGAAGACACCAGCTTCTTTACCTCACCTTATCTGAAGGAAATATTGTTGGAAGATAAGGATTTATCCATTTCCAACCTCACCCTTCCTTCATCCCCTTTATTGAATCCTTTACCATCACCTATATTGAACTCTACTGAAATTGACTCTGGCCAATCCTCGTCTTTACCACCCATAGACACCTTACTTGTATCAAACCCTACTGAAATTGACTCCAATCAATACTCATCTCTACCACCCATAGACACCTCACTAGGACCATCTAACCCACCTATTACTATACTATAACATGTTTATTCAGGAGGGAACCCTAAGAAAGACAACCAATTCCAATAGTTTGAACATATCTCTAGAACTGAAATCAATAAGAAAATAAAGAAAAGAATCAGCGATGAATCCGACATTATAATATCTACTAATGATGAGTCAGATATGGACTTGCCTATTGCTTTGAGGGAGGGAAAACGAACTTACACTCATCATCCGTTTCCCGAACTTATACTCAATATCCGTTGTCTCACTTTGTATACTATGAAAAACTCTAAAGTGAGTATAAAAGCTTTATGTTAACCTTACTCAAGTAAATATTCCAAAAACATATACGGAGGCAATACAACATAAAGAATGAAGACAAGCAATGAATCTTGAATTTAGGCCTTAAAAAAAAATAAAACATGGGAGTTGGTTACCATACCTAATGATAAGAAAATAGTAGGTTGTCAATGGGTATTTATAGTGAAGTATAAAGCAGAAGGAACACTTAAAGAGGTACAAAGTATGGTTGGTTGCTAAGAGATATACTCAAACCTAGGGAGTCGATTACCATAAAACTTTTGCACCTGTGGCAAAGATCAGCACAATATGATTACTTCAATCTTTTGCTATAAATCGTGGATCGTGGATGTGATATGTTACAATATGATGTAAAAAAATATTTTTCTACATTGTGATCTTGAAGAGGAAATTTATATGAAAATTACACTTAGGCATGAGCAAGCAGGAAATAAGGTTTCTAAACTCATAAAAGTGTTGTATGGACTAAAGCAATCTCCTAGAGTTGCGTGGTTTGGCAGATTTTATCAGATTATGCTACTCCATAGGGGGTTACAACACTAATTTTTATGTCGATGTTGATGATATTGTTGTCACTGGTAATGTTGGTAATGAATGAGATAAATTGAGAAATTGTTTGATCTATGAGTATGAAGTTAAAGAACTTGAAAACTGAAATATTTCATTAGGATAGAAGTCACCTATTCTAAACGGGGCATATTCTTATCACAATAGAAGTATGTGATTGACTTACTTTTTAAAATAGGAAAACTTGGTAGTAGACCAATGGGAACGTCGATTGATCAAAACCATAGATTATGTGCAATCGAAGAGAGTCTTCTAGCAAATAAGGAAGCTTACCAGAGTTAAGTTGAAAAATTAATATATCTCTCTCATACAAGATTATAGTGTATGTTAGGGAAGTGGTAAGTTAATTTATGCTTAGTCCAAAAGAAGTTCACCTTCAAGTAATGCATCAAATACTTCACTATTTGGATAGAAAATCAACTTCTCGCTATTGTACTTCTTAGGTGGGAATTTAGTGACACGGAGAAGTAAAAAGCAAAATATAGTTGCAAGATTGAGTTCAGAAGTAGAATTAGAGTGATGACATTGGACATTTGTGAGTTACTATGGATAAAGATTACTTTAGAAGATTTGAAGATTCCATAGGAAGGAACTATGAAGTATGAAATTGGTAATAAGTCTATCATTAGTATTGCACATAATCCAGTTCAACATGATAGAACTAAGCAGGTTGAGGTTGATAGACATTTCATGAGGTTGATAGACACTTCATGAAAGAGAAGTTGGATAACAAACCTCATATGTACTCCTGTTGTGCCAACAAATAATCAAATAGTTGATATCCTTTCAAAAGGATTGAACAACAGCTTTGAGCATTCGATTTAAGGGTGTTCACGGTTTGGTTCGGTTCGGTTTAAGGGCCGAACCGAAACCGAAACCAAATATTTAAAAAATTAAAATTTCAAAACCTAACCGAACCACATGTTCCATATGAACCGATCCGAATATTCGGTTCGGTTTGATTTATGCGGTTTCTGAGTTGGTGTTCTTGTTTCTTATCCTCCACGAAGTTGAAGTCGAGAGAGGAGGATATGGCAACTGGCAACGAGGTCAAACGAAGGTAGATGAGGTGGATGGCAGCGGCGGTTGCATATGAGGTTGATGACAGCAGCAGCGGCAAAGGTCAGAGGAGATAACTGGCAACAATGAAGACAAGAGAGAAGTGGGAAGGAAATAAACAAAAACTTTGAGAAGAAAAATAAAGAGAAATAGAAAATGGAGAAGGAGAAGAGTTGAGATGGAGAAGAGGAAGAGTTGAGATGGAGAAGGAAGGAAGAAGAGAAGAAACAAAACTTTAAAGAAGAAAAAAGAGATAGATAATGGAGAAGAAGAGTTAAGATGGAGAGGGAAAGAAGAACAAAAGAAATAAGAAGAAACCCTAATTAAATGAATAAAATTTAAAAATTAAAAATAAGTAATTTATTTGAATATTTCAAACGAATTAAAAATTTATTTAAAAAGAAAAGAAAAAGTTTAAATGATAAGGCTGCCATCATTAATGTCTGTCACTGTCATTTACGAAGGACAAGACAGGAGGCTCATCAACTGTTCTTTAATTAATTATTATTATTATATATATATAAAATAATAAGTAAGGATATTATATAATGTATATTCGGTTTGAATATTTTACTTAACCGAACAGAATCGCAAAACCGCAAAAACCGAAAATTCGGTCCGGTTTCGGTTCGGTTTTTTGGTTCGATTTTGTTGATTTTGTTGTGCACCCCTAATTCGATTAACAAGCTGGGAATGAAGAATATTCATTCACCAGCTTAAGGGGAGCGTTAAATTATATTATACAATTTTTTCTTTTATTGGTTACGGTTTCTGTTCTAATAGGCAAGGGTTGCTTTTTCCTTTTTATTCTTCCCTGTAGAGTACAATTTAATCTACAATTGTATCAATTCTTTAAAAATATAAAATTATTTTTTTCTTATCAATTGACAATATGCTATAGTGATAGTGCAAGTCAATCCAACGAGAAGGAAACCTTCTAGACCTTTTTAATATCAACTTCTGGAAAGATGAAAGCAGAGAAAGACCAAATAAAACACAAATGCACTAGCCTACACCTCGAGGTTAGACTTGATTTGACCAAATTTATGTACCAATTATAGTGTGATGTTTCAAATATGGTGTTTTCAAGTGAAGTAATTTTTCTTAGACCACTTTATAGATCACTTGATGTGAACATTGTGATGTTTGGGTGTATTATTAGAAACGTAATTTCAA